AGCACCTCTGGTTTATTCACTCCCCGCCTTCTCTATTCCACTCCCCCCGCCTCCTTTCAGGGAACCAAGTGTACAGCTCACCCAGCGCCCCCCCCCACCCCGCTAGCTCTCCACGCCCGGGTTCGGGGCCCCCTTTCTCGGTGAAGGAGGTGCTCGGCCGACCACGGTGTGTCCCGAGCCCTGACCCACGCCATGCTCCCTGCACGTGTCAGCTCGGCCAACTTGCTGGGGGCGCCGGGCTCTCTCCCCTTCCCCCCGAAGTGAAATAACACTGAAAGTTGGGGGGTGGGGTGGAGGGAGGAAGGAGGTGAGGAAACGCCACCATATCCCCTGTAAAAGCAGCCTTGACCCGGGGATGCATTTTAGCACATGTCAGAGCCGACTGCGCCGGCAGCGTCTCCACCGCAATCCCGCTCCGGGGGAGAAAGCCCTGGCTGGCGGGTGAGGCGTGAACCCGGAGGGGTCGGCGAGGATGCAAAGCGCAGGACACAGGGTGGAAGTCTTGGGCCTCCGGGGAAAGGAAGGGGTGGTGTTGTTTGCGCAGGGGGAGAGGGGGGGAGCCAAACCTAATCCCTCCCTCGCCCCCCTCCCCTCCCCTCCCCCTCCCAGGCTATTTCCTAGAAAGCTGTATCAGTGTGGCCACGCTCGGCGCAGACACCTCGGGCGGCTTGTCAGCAGAGGCAGGGGTGAGGAAGCGGGTTTTTCCTGCGTGGCCGCGGGCCGCGGAGCAACCTATGGTAGCCCTGCACCCCCCCCCCCGCAAGGCCTGCGGCAGCGCTGGGCGCCTCTCCGCTGCTCCCCGTGGCGCCTGTAGCGCCCCCAAGAAGGGGAGGGTTTCTGCTCTAGGGTCACATTCTATCACGTCGGAGAAGCCGCCCCCTCCCTCCTAACACCCACCCCTTCCTCTTCTTCCTCTCCACACACACATGCGGGGGTGGGGGAAGGGGGGACGTTGTTTTGGCCCCTTTAATCGGGCTTTTGAAACAGCCTCGAAGTGATCAGGAACTCAAACGTCCGGGACAGAGCCTTTATCTCTGGATATCCAAGGTTGCTATTTTCCAAAATCGCCCTCCTTAGTCTTCACTTAAGGGATCTGTTTCTAAATTGCATGAGTCTACCCCATCTTCAAGTGATCTACCCGTCATTTCTCGTATCTTACATACATGGGCAGGAGTGGAAAGATCAATGTTGAGAAAGCCAAAGTTGGAGGGTCGTAATCTGGCATGATACACCCACAGAATGTGCGAAATTAGAGGGAATAAATAGGAATCGGTGTGTTTTTTGTGGGTTCCCCTATCCGGGGCCCCTGGCATGCGGGGCTGGATAGAGGGAGAGGGCCTCGGAGAGCTAAGGAGAGGGGTGGGGGGGCGGGGGACCGCGTTTGAAGTTAGGTCGGGCCAGCTGCTGTTCTCCTTAATAACAAGAGGGGAAAGGAGGGAGGGAGGGAGAGATTGAAAGGAGGAGGGGAGGGACGGGAGGGGGGGGAAGGGGAGGAGGAACCGGAGAGGGGAGCGAGGCGAGAGGGAGGAGAACTAACTGCCCAGCCAGTTTGCGTCACTGCCTCGCAGAGCAGAGAAGAGCGAGCAGGGGAGAGCGAGACAAGTTTGAAGGGGAGGGCAGGCAGAGTTAGCAGCCCCCGAGGCTCTCCTCTCCCATCGCCCATCCCTTTCCTCTCTTCTCCCCCAGCCTCTCCCTCTCTCTGCCCCATAACTTTTCTCTCGAAAACCCCCTATTTAGCCAAAGGAAGGAGGTAAGGGGAACCCTCTCCCCTCCCCCCTCCAAAAAACCCCCCAACTTTTCCAGTCCGGAGAAAGCAGGGAAGCGAGCGGACACCCGGCTGGCCATGGAACTGCTGTGCTGCGAGGTGGACCCGGTCCGCAGGGCCGTGCCAGACGCCAACCTGCTCTACGATGACCGCGTTTTGCAGAACTTGCTCACCATCGAGGAGCGCTACCTTCCCCAGTGCTCCTACTTCAAATGCGTGCAGAAGGACATCCAGCCCTACATGCGCAGGATGGTGGCCACCTGGATGCTGGAGGTAGGTCTGCAGACAGACTCCGTCTGTCCCCATACGGATACTCGGCCCCCCCACCCCCCAGAGCAGGGACCCTAAAACTGGGAGAGGGCAGGCTCCGCGCTCACCGCCCCGCTCGGGTGCGCGAGGTTACCCCGCGCCCTTTGGCGAGACGCGTGGCTTCATTTCTGTTCCCTGCAGGATGCAAGACTAACTGGGGGAGGGGAGGGTGAAAGGGGAGGGAGGAGGAAAATCTGGGAGAAATGAGGCTGTCCTGGGGCGGGGGTGGGGGAGCATCCCGCGCGCGTGTGTCTGCATGTGGCTGCCTCTTCTTCCCACCCCCCTCTCGACCTGTCTTGCGAAGCCGCGGCTGCTTTCCGTGCAGTGAAGAAGGGAGTAGAAGTGTGAAATCGGGGCCACAAAGTAAAAAAAAGCAGCCCCCCAAAGGCCAGAGCAAATGCGTCCTAGCCTCAGGTCCCCGCATGTGGTCGCGACTCCGCGTTGGCACTTAAGGGGGGGGGGAGAGGGAGGGGGAGGAGGGAGGAGGAGAGAAACGGAGAATTCAGGAGCCCCGGAAGTCGCAATGGAGAAACGTGTGTTTTAGGGGAACCCAAAAGAACCACTTTTTTACCCTTGCTCCAAATCTTTGCCGAGCAAGCTGTGTGCCCACGTATGCACAGCTCTGGACCTGCCGTGGTTTCGCCATGTTGCTTTGCAAACTCCGGTTGGAAAGGCTGGAAAACGTCGCCCGCTCCCCCCTCGCACCCCATTATGCCGGCCACCCCACTTGTAATAGTGCCCGCTTCCCCAACCCCCACCTCACGAAGGTTACTTACAGTTTGGCTTTCCAGTTTCCTCAGTGCGGAGATTTGGGTGGGGTAGGAAGGGGGGGGAGGAGGTGTGTGTAGGGGGGGATGTCGGGGCACCCCTAAAGGAGAGGTCAGAGCGCCCCGTGCCTCTCTCCGGCGGCTCCCCGTTCCTCGGTTTTCCCCCAGCTCGTCACCACGATCCCCAGTTTCTGCCCTTGTGGGCCGCAGCCGGACACTCCCGCCGCGGCGCTCACCCCTCCAAGTTTCCCCTCGGGATCCAAAGCCCCAGGGGTCGAGATACAGACCTTTCCGGCACCCGAAACCTCCGTTTCGGGAAGCCTGGATCCTCTTTGGGGTTTTCACGCCAAAAGGGCTTTTCTAAGATATTTCCTCGATTTTTAATTATTTTTTGAAACCGTCTCCCCATGCTCCGAGTGCAGCCGCCGAGACTGCGGCTCTTCCTCCTCTCCTCCCTCCCCCTCTCTTCCCCACCTCTCCCCCCCCACCCCCCCAATAGCGGCGCCTGGGCCGCAGGGACCCCCCCGGACATTTTTTTCAATTGTCGGGAATGATAGAGCAGGGTCCGAGGGTCCGAATGAGACCAAGAAGAAGACCCCCGGAGCTTCCAGAATATTTTTATTGATTTTTTGAAAAGATGACGAAATCCAAAAAAGAGAGTGTGAGTGAGTTAGAGTGAGCAAAGAAGTCAGTAGCCAAAGGGAGCGTCGCAGAGCCGGGCGGCTACTGCGCGTGTGTTTGCCTTCCCAGGTCGGATCTTCAATTCACCTCTTTTTTTACGTTGCTGGGGAATACCCCAGCGCCGATGAGCTTTTTAGATTTACCCCGTTTTCCTCATTTTTATTCTTATCACATATTCTACTCCCCTCCCCCTCCCCACTCAAAAATTAAATATTTTTGCTTCTTTCCATAGGTTATGCCTTTTCATTTTTTTTTTTTGTCTTTTCCTGGTACTATTCCCTCCACCCCCCTTCCCCCCAACCCTTTCCCGCTCCCATTGTAGGTCTGCGAGGAACAGAAGTGTGAAGAGGAGGTCTTCCCTTTGGCCATGAATTACCTGGACCGCTTCTTGGCTGGAGTCCCAACTCCTAAGACCCATCTGCAGCTCCTGGGTGCTGTCTGCATGTTCCTGGCCTCCAAGCTCAAAGAGACCATCCCTCTGACGGCTGAGAAGTTGTGCATTTATACTGACAACTCCATCAAGCCTCAGGAGCTGCTGGTAATGACCCTCTCCTTCTTCCCCCCTTTCTGTGCGTCCTTCCCTCTTTGCTCTCTCCACGCCTGATAAGCTTCTACCCACTGCTCCCCAAATGAGTCCTTTGATTCCCAAATTACCACACCGCTGGAATTTTCACACTTGTAGGAGTCAGCGCTTTTAATATGAAATGTTTTTGTGTTCCTACTGTGTGCCAGGCACTGTGCTAAGCACTGAGGCTACATCCATGAATAAGATCCCCGGAGACATTTCTGTGGGTGAAATTCACTTGCAGTTGTGTGTGCAGGTGCGTGCGTGTGTGCGCGCGCGTGTGTGTGTGTGTGTGTGTGTAGGGGAGACTTGGGACACAGTGATAACATTTTAATTACATTCCAAATTTTCAACCACTGAATTCTGACAAAACAGTTCCACTTCTCACATGGTAGGAAGGTCTTCACATGATAAGAGTGTGTTGTGATGTGTCTCCTAAGAATCTGGAGTTCAAAAGTACTATCTATACACTCTCGAGATAACTGTACATAGTAGCTGTTCACTAAATATCTATTCATTGACTTTGGAGCCAAGTCACAATGTGGCCTCTTATTAGAGGAATCTGAGGTCTGGGTTTCTAGATCCAGTGAGGCTGTGACCTCTGTCCGATGACAGGGGTCCTCTCTTGACTCTGATTTTCTGCCAGCAAACCTCCCCAACCCCGCCCCCCCACCCCATCTAACTCTTTTTCCCTGAAGCTTCACACTTAGGGCGTCCATGTTGCAGCAGTCTGGAATGGTAGAGTGACTCCCAGGCCCACCTTCCGTGGTCTGCCCACCTTTCTCTGCGCTGTTTGGAAAAGGGGGCCCCTCTCTAGCCCCCCCTCCCCTTCGGTACTGGCAAGGCCTGCACAAAGTCCACAGGGCTAGGACTGGCTGCTAGAACTGAGCTCTTTGTGAGAGGCCTTCCTTTCTGGGGCTGTGCTGCCATCTAGTGGCAGACATGTGCAAGGATGGGGGAGGAATTGCGGGGAATGTCTAGAGGGGCATGAATGACTTCACCTTTGAACCACTGCCAGATTTCAGCTGCTTCTGGTTTGGTCCGGGAGGCCCAGAAAGGTGCTTTCTTCTGGGAGATCTGCTTCCTTTAATAATAGTACAAGACGAGTAGTTCATACTCACATTCCCCTGTGAGAAGAAAGGGCTGGAATTTCAAGCCATCTTAGAAGACACTGGTTGTTTAATAATTTTGTCTTTTTTTTTCCCGTCCCAGCCCTCTGTAAAAAGCCAAGGCAGACTTAAAAGCATGTAAAGGAAAAATTGTTAAAATTCGTTACTAGTTCGTTTTCTCATGGGAGACCGGAAAATGAATCTTCCATTTTGTTCATTTGTTTCAACGTGATGGTGGACCGTGGTGTTCTTCAGGACACCCCATTTTTTTCCAGGATCAGACAAGCTAATGAATAGTGCTCCGCAAAACCCTGCCTTTTTTTCCATTCCCGATTTCGTTATCCCAGAGGCTGGGATCGGGAGGAGTCCTATTTTACACCAGAGAAAGCTGAGGCCCAGCAAGGGGAAGGGAGTCACCCCAGATCACACAACCACTTGGTGCTACGGGAGGGCGGCTGGGGGCTCTGGTTGCTGGCTTAGCAAATGGAAGAGAGCCTGGGGTTTTTTAGGGCAAATGGGGGAGCAGGGTGCACATGCACGCTGGTCTCTGCCTCTCTTTCTTCTGAAGACAATTAATGGACAGGCCCGTTTTCCCTCTAATTGCACATACTTTTAGGATTTCCTTTTTGGCTTGTTTTACTTTGAACACAAGTCCCCAAATGTACCCGGATAAGGGAGAGAAGAAGTTTTTCACGAGGTGGGCTGGTGGTGAGAAGCCCATGAGAGACGGGGTTGCATTGTTCCCCCTTGGCATTGAACGGAGGGATTCCGTTGACTGTGCACAAGCACTTTCACTTTGCCCCAATCACTTCCCGCTGCAACATGAGGCTGCTAATGACCATCCAGTGGGTCCTTCAGTCACGATGACAAAGGCCTATGAAACATTTAGGTGAAAGGGCACTCTGTGGCTGAGTGTCCTTTCCCCAAGACTTCTGCATTATGTGTGGAGGGGAAAGTTTTAAAGCAGAGAAAAATGACACTTTTTGGCACCAACTACAAGTCAGCTAATTGGTTGCCAAGGAGTTGGGCCCAGGAACCTTATTTTGAGTTTCATCTGTGTGCATCATTTTTCCATGAGGATTAAAAAGACTATTAATCCAGCGATGGAGACATAGACAATAAATTACTACCTAAGGGCCACAATGACCTTGGCAGTATCTTTTCGTAGGTTCAGCTTTCTGGGTGGGCAGGCAACAGCACTGCCTGCAAGTCAGGGTTGGCCAGGGGTGGGGAAGCCGAAGAGGAAAAGAAATAGGATAGAGTCTTGGCAACAGCTACCTGGGCCCTCATTATTGCCTGTCGCGCCTGCCACTGGAAGCCTAAGAAGAGACGCCAACGATTTCCAAGCTTTGGGGGGCACTTGGACAAATGGGCCGGCCTCCCCATCCAGCAGCGTCCTCATGAGCATCCTTAAAATGGGTCTGGATCCCAACACACCCTCTCCCTCCCCCCCACTTCCCGGACACCACGTCAGCCTTTGGGTTTTATACTCTTCTTTTCCTTCTTCCTCCCTCCCTTCCTCCTCAGGAGTGGGAGCTGGTGGTGCTGGGGAAATTGAAGTGGAACCTGGCGGCCGTCACTCCTCACGACTTCATCGAGCACATCCTTCGTAAGCTGCCCCAGCCGAGTGAGAAGTTGTCTCTGATCCGCAAGCATGCGCAGACCTTCATTGCTCTGTGTGCCACCGGTAGGAGCAGGCCAGAGCCGGAGGGGCGGGCCTTGGGAGGGGCGGACGCAGGCTGAAGAGCCCTTTGGGGGGTGCTCAAGGGGAGGCTGACGGGGGTCCTACCGGGCATGGGCCTGGGGGGCTTAGGAGATGGGTGGTCCCAGGTAACCTAGAGTACCAGGTTTCATGCCCCGGCTGTGTTTTCCTGACTTTATCTGAGCTGGTATATTCTTTTTTCTCTGCTAAACTCATAAATGGTTTATAACGACAGGTGTGGTAAAGGAAAAAAAAAATAGTGCCTGTTAAAATAATTCTTTATGATGTCTAAAGTGCTCTTTGAAGATTATATATACTGCTCTCTGGTTGTGTTTAAATCTTTAATCTTTTGAGGAAAAGGATGGCTTGGAGATAAGCCCAAGAGGAAATTTGGGGGGGTGGGGGCAAATACAGGTTAAAGGAACACTGTCAAGATAAATACGCGGCTTGCCCTGATAAGCAGTAAGGGAGGCCAAAGGAGTTCTTTTTACTGTAGGGCACATGTGTGTAGCTGTTCCCTCTGCTGGATGGGGGAGTAAACCTGGCTGGCTCTCAGCAAGGACTCACGTTCTGAGCACTAGGTTCTGATGCCCTCGCTTCAAGTGCTGGTATTTTGATTTTGGTTGCAAGCTTTAACATAACAATCACAACTGGCTTTTTTATATTAAAAGCTTTCCACTCACCCTGTTGATCCCACAACTGATACATAGTTATTACTGGCCCATTTGCTTTGCATTTCCCTAATAAACTAAAGGCAGTGGTTTGACACTGTCTCATTAAACTGAACCTTGGCCAGTTTCTACCATTTTTTTCTTGGTAGTGGCCATGGGAGAGACCCTGGAACCTTAATCATCCAGGGGAGAGACACCATAGGTAAAGAACTGACATCTGGGCAGATCTTTGGTTTGGGGGTGGGAGGTTGGTGGGGGAGTGGGGAGGGCTGGGGTGCAGAGGGATCAGCACCAGTTTGTCAAAGGTTGTTGAATTTTATAGTTGGGACTCGGGGGGTTAACTCCTTTCACTGTCTTGTTACATGGTATTCATGAGTGAGTACAGATGGATCACACAGTATGCAAAAGTGTATATGCTCTGTTCTCAGTCAAAAGGTCAGGCTTTGCTACTTCTCACTGGCTGACCTTGGACAGGCTGCTTAACCTCTCTGAACCTCAGCTTCCATCTGCAAAACACACCTGGGGGATACATGATCTTACAGCCTTTTCAGGGTGGTTAGGAAAAGGAAAATCAGAAAGAGATACATGCAAGGAGGTACTTGGTGAACCAAGGAATGTGTAGACAGTGTGTTGTGGTCCTACTTGTGGGAAAATGCCACTGTCTCCCACTTGTAACTTCATCCAAATCCAGCAGGACCCCTTGCTCTGCCTGCACTGGCTGGAATGTGGGATTCCCTGACATGCACATTGGATGCTTGGGCATGGGTTTTGTCCCACTGGTTTTCCGCGGTGCTGCCCTTCCTGATCCAGACCCGTCCCATGGCATGTGTATGTGCCCTGGGCCCTTTTGTGGGAGAGTGAACTGCCCTTCCCACAGCCCCAAGGGGGCTGTTGTTCAGAGCCCCCGTGTATACCTTGCTGCCTTTTAGACAGTAGCCTAACCATTCTTTTGCTTCCTCTCTTCTCCTGCTGTCTGGCCTGGGGCCCTAGAGGTCAGTCCCTCATTGACTTGTCATTTTGTCTCCCAGGCCTGGGCTGTCCCTTCCTCTCCATTGTCATGATTCACTGTGGGGGAGGGGTCAACCAGTCCTTTTTTCTCTGGCCCTAGGATAGCTGACCCCTTGACCCTAAGATCCCCCATTGTCCAGCTGTTAGCCAGAGTTCTGCTTTGACCTTGTCTCTTGACTGACAGATCTTTTGGGGTCTGTCCACCCATCCCTCCATTCTCATCTCTGATCGGGGTGGAGATGGTGGGTGGGATTACCCAGGCCTGGGTAGATCCCCAGATTCTGTAAAGGCCCATTCTCTAAAATTGGGGATCCCATCCCCCGCTTCTGATCTTCTTGCCTAGATCCTTGGGGTGGCTGCCAACTTGGGGCCAGAGTGAGGAGCCTGGGCCTCGGGCCCTGAGGACAGAGGCCCAAGGGGTGGCACGGGAAGTCACAAAGACTGCCTTTTGGGAGACTTGAGCTAGACTTGGACAGGAAGTGAGGAAGGATAGAAGGAATAACTCCAACTGAATAAAAACCACAAGCCAAGTACTCAGCCTCAGGTGTGGACTGATCAGAGCGGGGCCGGGGGGGGGAATGGGGGGCTTCTTGGAAGTTTCCTGAGTCTGGGAAGGATGGGTCTGTCTCACAAGGCTTTTCTTTCTCGATCTGTGCTTGAGCCTGTGTGAAGGACTGGGTTAAATAGCGTCCTTACCGTGGGGAGTTTCATAGCAGTTGGCCTGACGGCATCAAAGTCAAGGGCTGCTCTTCTTGGAGGAAAGATCTTCCAGTTAGAAGAGATGCTGCACTTCGGGCGGGGCCGGGGTGTGACAGATGGTTGAGGGCCTAAGACTGCCTGGCAAGTAGCCGGCGCAAGGTAACTGAGAACCAAAGGTAGGTGGTGACACTGAGACTGTCCTGTCTGCTCCGTCCTGGTTCCCCCAGCCCTGAACATTCTGCCCGGAAGCCGAAGAGGCACCTGTAGCCAGGGTGTGGCAGGCCTACAGTGGGCCCTGAGGAGGTGGTCGCCAACCCTGGGGCGGTGTGGCCAGTTAATGGGGAGAGCTGGTTGTGAATGAGCTGGCACTAGTCCCGTAGTCTGTATGGGGAGTGCGTGTGTGCGTGCGTGTGTGTGTGTGAGAAAGGGGAAGAGAGAGAGAGGGCAGGAGAGCAGAGGGGGGCCGTGAGGAGGGGAGGGCAGCTGCGGTTCTCCTTGCTGGCCAGAGGGTAAGAGGGCCGGGCAGAGAGACGTCCTCCCACCCTCTCCCTCCTCAGCTCAGAATGGCTTCTGGCTGGAGAGACCACCTGCAACTGCCCGGTGTCCCTGTCAGGGCCAGTCATGGTCCGCAGAGGCACTGGGGTGAGAAGCAGACCTTCATAACTGCCGGCCCCTGGCGTCCCCTTTCCTGGAGCTTTGGATCCTGGGGAAGCAGAACTGAGCCTCAGTGTCCCCCTGGTTGTAGCTCCGATGGTAGAGTCCCCCAGGTCTGCAGATGAGGAAAGAAGGACCATGGAAGATGACTCAGGATTGCACTCGGGCACTGGAAGATTCTTGATGCATGATATCATGCTCAACAGATGCTTCCAGTTAGTCTAGAAAAGCCAATGACATTGAGTTTGAACTTGGTGTGGGGGTGGGGTGGAGGTGCTTAACCTCCCAGGCCCGTGGCACCCCACATGTCCCTCTTTTTGCCCAGGGCCCCACCTCAAGGTGCTGGGCTAATAAGCTCTTTGCACCATGCCCGTGAGCAGTCCCACCCAAGGCTCCCGACCCCAAGGTCCGAGCCCCAGTGATGATAACACCCCTTGTGTTCCCAGTCTTCCTGGCTTTCCCTAAAGATGCTTCATGACCTTCCATCATGAGGTGTAATCATAGCTGGGACCCTGAAAGGGTAGGTGACTCGGCCCCTTATCCAAAAAGGGAGGTGTGCCCTGGTGGTTGCCAGGTGGGAAGAATTTAGACCACCTTCCCCTCTCTGAAACCCTGCACTGCCTCCAAGGCTGACAGGGTGTGGAGCCGAGGGGAAGTGGCAGTCTCTTCTGCACGGGCACCCCGTGGGGACAGGCAGTGGGACAGGGTTCTCTCACTTCCCGTCTGGCTGTAAAATGAATGAGGGGCAGGCTGCTTGCTATTCTCCAGCCGTCTCCCTCCCCTCCTCCTCCCACCGAGGCCTTTGGCTTTACATTGCCATCAGCTTGGCGTGGCAGTCCTGCCCCATGCGCGGATTATGCGCGGATCCTATTCCGGTAGGTGAGGTGTGTGCGGCTCCCAGCATTGGTTGGCCAATGAGCATCCGGGATCCTGGCCTTTTTAACGTCCACCTTGCTGCAGGTTGGAGGAGGGGGAGAGACTGGGGCGTCCCTGTTTCTCTTCAGCCTCCGGGCAAATCTCTCTCGCCCCCTAGTGGTCATCCAAAGCACAGCGGTCATTCTTGGACTTCAAGGTCTCCGTCACCATAGCCAAAACAATTCGCGCTAAACTTATGTGCAGGGCCATCTAATCTGGTTTCAAACCAGCTTAGCTCAGAGCTCTTTCTTCAGTGAAATCTTACCAAGGCGTGCAGATACCAAGTCTATGAATGTGGAGCCCTCGCTGCCCTTGTCCAGATTAAGGAGCCCAGTCAGACCCCAGGAGTGCCTATGGCGGTCTTGGGAAGTTAAGTGGGTTGTGCAGGTCACACAGCTTGCTGGTGCCATGGCTAGGACCTATCTCTCTGACCAGGGCTTGCTTTGGGGGGCTTTTCTTGCACTTCTGATAGGAAAATCACCCTGTATTCCTTCGTGGGATGTGGGAGGTGGCCTTGAGGAGCTATTCACATTCTGGTAAGTTATAAAGAGCACGGGGGGGATGCCTGGGTGGCTCAGTCGGTTAAGCGTCTGCCTTCAGCTCAGGTCATGATCCCAGGGTCCTAGGATCGAGTCCCGCATCTGGCTTCCCGCTCCGTGGGGAGCCTGCTTCTCCCTCTGCCTCTGCCTCTCTCTCTCTCTCATGAATAAATAAATAAAATCTTGAAAAAGAAAAAAAAAAAGAGCACTGGGTCCACAGTCTGAAAGTCTCAGCCTTAACCCCAGGCCCAGGATCGGGGATTAGACAAGTCAAGAATTCATCGATTCGGGGTGCCTGGGTGGCTTCAGTCGGTGAAGCGTCTGACTCTTGATTTCAGCTCTGGTCATGATCTCAGGGTCGTGAGATCCGAGCCCTGCGTCGGGCTCCATGCTGGGTATGGAGCCTGCTTAAGATTCTCTCTCTCCCTCTTTCTTTGCCCCCTCCTGCTCCCCTCACTTGCACTCACACACTCTCTCTCTCTCCCCTGCCCCCCAAAAAGAAAAAGAATTCATTGATTTCACCTGTAAAAGGAAGCGTTTTGAAACCGATGAGTTTTACGTTGGTTTTTATTAATACCTCACCACTACTTGAATGAGTAAGCGACCAATAGAGTTGGGATTCCCCTAAGGTGTGCCCCTTGCCTCCACCACCTCCCCAGGAGGGAGGAGGTCGTGCCAGAGGCTTCTAGTATGTGGGCATTTTTGCTTGGCTCTGGGTGAACCACACCTGAGGGAATATAGGGACACTGGGAAGGGAGTGGCCAACTTCTGTCTTCCATTCATTGTACGAGGGCCCTCGGTTTCTCCCACTCCTGACAAACCAGCATGAGGCTTTGGGGACTCGATGAGGTCATTTCTGGGACACAGAACACAAGTGATAGGGGAGGATTCTCCAGGCAGCCCAGAGCCTTCATTCTTCCCGGCGGTCTCGGCACAGTTGGCCTACTGTCAGCATCTGCCTGTAGCCCAGGGATGCGGGGCACCTTCCTCCTCATGCCTGCCGATGCTGAACAGCATCTCCCAAGGGTCAGGATTACCCTTCACAGCCCCAGAGAAGGTTCCCACGGTCAGAATAGTGGTAGGACACTGCTGGCTTGCCAGGAGCCAGGCACTGTGTTTTTACATGGATTAGTCCTGTCCTCAGACCAACCCTATGAGGTGGGTACACTTCTCCTGATATGCTGGTGGGAAGATGCAGGCTCAGAGAGGTCAGGTAACTGGGCCATCTTCAGACAGCTGGTCGGTGGTAGGACAGTGGCCTCCCTATACTCTACCTTCCAGTTCTTGGAGCTACTTGGCCCAAATGCTTCCCATGTCCTCAGAGAGTCCTCCTAAGTATCTTCCTGCTCCTGTCCCCTTGGGCACCCCCTTTCTTTTGAGAAGTGTCTTTATTGGCTACCCATGCAGTGTGCACCTAGCCCTTTAGAATGCACTGTGCTGCGTTCTGTTCCTATGTTTTTGCCTCGGGGGTGGGTGTGGGGATTAATCCTTGCTGCCCGGAACAGGGAGGAACACTTGTGATGACTCTGTTGGAACCCATCACTGGTCAATGCTGCGGAGGAAGGAGGGGTCTCAGGAAGTCACCTCTTACCATTCTGGGTAGGCAACGGAGGGTAGAGATAGACCCTCACTCTCCGACTGTGCCTTTTGCCCCAACATATAGCTCGTTGGTATTTTTGACCAAGAGATGTAGAGATTGCGGAGAGATTTTTTACTTGGTATTTTATTTTTGCTGAAACAAAATGATATGAGGAGAAAGATTTACAAAACTACTTCTATTTCTTCCATCTCAACAGTGGGAACATTTATATACGTTTTCTGTGACTCCTCCTACTTAAGTCACATGCACGGGCGTATATGTGTTTTTATGCATCTATTTCTGGAAGGTTGTAATCTTGGTCATAGCATGCATGCATGACGTTTGATTTTTCTGCACCGCCCCCCCCGTCCCATCCAAGTGGGTAAGTTTAAACAGTTTTCAATCCAGTTACGTAGCCAGAGTTTAAGGTTTCCAGGAGTGGCTGAGTGGGTTGGGTGAAACTTTCCACGGGTGAGTGCAGAGGTTAGGTAAGTAGAGCTAGTACGAGGACGCAACCCTTCAGATGTTTTATTCAGGTGTTTTTCTCTCTGCTATTTCCCCTACCAACAGAGGAGGGGGTGTCCCTGAGCAGGGTCCCGGGGCAGCCCCTGAGATCGTGCAGAACTAGCACTGCTCTCTGTGGTGAGAGAGGCCTTGTGACTTCCCCAGCCAGTGGAAGCCATGCTGCGTTCTATTGATGCTTGCTTCTTCTTTTCTTGGGAGTGGTTCTCATTCTAGATCCTTAAGGAAGAGCAAAATAGAGCTGGAAGGCACCTGGGGGATTAGCCAGCCTTTGACCTAAACCATGAAGAAAGAAATACATTTTATAACACAACTCAGGATATACATAGATGGACATCAAACTGCCACGAAAGTTTCTCAAGACAGTATTTACTCTTACTACATGATTACTTCCTGATACTTCCTATCCTGTTCTGTTCAGTTAAACGGCAACAAAAACAACCCACCACTGGGTTTCATGACCCAACAGTGAGCTGCAACTAGAAGCTAGAAGAACACTGATCCAACCCCACCCTTTATTAGACAGATGGAATGCCAGGGGCTGGGAGAGGAAGTGACTCACCCAAGGTCCCACAGTCAGGACTGGGCTTGTAATGCTAATGTCACCTCCTTTGGACTTACCCGGAGGAGAGCCTCGCAGTTGCTCGGGAATCTCGAGGAAGACCCTGGTTTGCTACCGCGGCAGGTGGCAGAGGAGGAGTGTAGTGGCCGCCCGGCTTCCCGCAGCCCTTCCCTGGCGGGGGGAGCACTACCCAGCCTGCACAACGCTCCCCATTTCTGGGAGGCAGGGAACAGTATCGCCGGGAGGATGCTCCTCAGCATTTTCCTAGCAAAACAAGAAAGGGGGGCGATAGAGTCCTTCTGGCAACTTTAGCCCCTGCTGCACCCCCGGGACCACCCATATATACCCCCTGGCTTCCAGAAGTTAATTAGTTTGCTAAAATTAGGAGTCAGTTTTGCGTGCAGTGGGACAACAAAAGCTAGACGCGTGTGAGGTGTGCTTCCTGGTCGGAGGCCTGGGACAGAGGAAAGGGAGGGCCAGGGATATCCTCCTGTCGTTCCCTGCCAGAGGCTCCCACCCAGGGCCTTTGTGGGCCCAAGGCCATGGGCTGGCTGCCTCGTCTGCATTATGAATGTCACAGGGGGAAGCTAATGAGGTTATTGGGCAGAGAAACACTCCTGTGAGCCCATGTGGAGGAGACCTACAGCAGAGCGGGATGCAGGGAGGCTGCCTTTGGCACCATCCATGGGGATAGAGAAGGCACGGGAGGAGTTAGTGGACAAGTGGACGGCAGGCTTGGGGCAGAACGCTGTGATATACGTCCCTCAAGAGGTAGAAATGGTGAGTGGGCTAAGGAAAGAAAGCCAAGGAGAAAGACAGACTGACAGAAGGCCAGGCTTGCTCTGTTCGTGGGATTCGGCCAAGATGGGAGGTGTGCGCACGGTTCAGTGAATCAGCCGTATTGCTAAGAACACCACCAACTTGCTGCTGGACGATGGGGTCACCTATGAAAGTGCTTTAATGGAATATGTGGCTTAATAGGGCATTGGACAGGAAGAAGGGGAAATATTATGTTGCACTGTTTCTATAGTTCAGGAAGAAGGGGAAATGTTCTGTCACATTGTTTTTATAGTTCAACCTGATGGTGGTGCTGTAATTTGAAGTGTGACCCATGTGCCCCCTCTGTATCTCCCTCCTGCCTCCCCCCCCGCCCCGCCCCTTGCACAGCTATAGGCAGTAAACTCTGGAGTAATGCTAGAACCAGAGGTAGTACATTGTGGAGGATTTGCTCCACTCCAGGACTGACTAAAGTGAGTGATGGAGTAACCTCTTTACCATATCAGCACAAGGAGCGGGAAAGGGCACTTGCAGCGCTCAGAAGCCTGCCCGTTCTCATCCACCACATGGGGGTAATTGTGCACAGCTTATATGGTGGATGTGTGAATTAGCTGGCATATAACTCGGACGGGACTGTACACGTGGGTCATTAGCAGCTATTAGAGGCAGCAACAGAAGTCAGGTGCGGGTGTCCTTCTGTCCTCCTGATAACTGAGAAGTAGGTGATCTTGGTCACCCAGCCTCTTTGCGGGAGCACTCAGAGGAAACTGAGGTGTTTGGTCTCCCAGGCTGAGGAGCATATGAGCATAGGAACATCCCCTCTGTTAGCTTTTGGAGAAATGAAAGTGGATGAGTGTTTGAGCTCCTTAAATTCATCCTCATTTTGTACTTCTCTTTAGCAAACCACTCTTTTTTTCCAGCAAGAAAACAGGACCTTCGGGCCCAAGAGCCATAAAATCTAACCAAGTCATCCATCTGATTAGGATGCAGTGGTTAATACTGGTTAACACCTGCTTTCTCTCTCCTCATGTTCTAAGGGTCCTTGGCATTGGGCTAGAAGTTGGGGATTTGTGTGAAACTTGGCCCTCATGCCCTCGATTACTGCTTCTCTCACTTCCTTTTTTTCTTTTTTTTTTTTTAAATGAAGTCATCTTTTGTTTTGGGCCATATTAGTCCTTTTTGACTGTCCACAAAATAATAGGGCTAGATCACATCAGGATTATTGTTCTTCATAAAATTTTACTTGCTTATGCTTTTCCTGCCTTCCACCATCTAGATCCCTTGGTCTGTCTCACTTGTATGGCACATAAGTTACCTTGTCTGGACTCACCTCAGACCTCCCTGCTCTGCTCCTGCCATGACCCCCAGAGGAGAATGTACCTCACTCACCTTCCTGCCACTTGCACACATGCTAACCCCAGACAGGATTGTGGGGGCCTGAGTCTCCTCTCTGAGAATTTACTATGTGCACTCAGATAAGCTCTCCACCTTCTCTGCCTCCGTCTCCCCTTTTAGCTTTGGGCCTGCCACAGTGATGGCAAATAAAGAAAAGGTGTCTTGTGAAGGAAGACTCAGGAGAGGATGTGTCTGTAGGGTGAGGGATCACTGTACAGCTTACCTTTCACCATCCTATTTCTGAGTATCTTCAGGCTGGGGAGCCCCGCTATCCTTGACCTTCGGCCTCTCGTTCTCGCAGATTTTAAGTTCGCCATGTATCCGCCATCGATGATTGCAACTGGAAGTGTGGGAGCTGCCATCTGTGGGCTCCAGCAGGATGAGGACGTGAGCTCGCTCACTGGCGACGCCCTGGTCGACCTGCTGGCCAAGATCACCAACACGGATGTGGTAGGTGGACGCCATCTTCTTGGTTAAAACCAGATGTCTCTTTTCTCAGCTCAGGGAAGGAGACACTTGGCTTGATGATAATGTGTTGGAGGTGTTTTTTTTGTTGTTGATAGTGCTTTCTGTTTTCCAAGATCAACATCCAAAGTCGTACAAAATTCAATAGATGAGGCTTCCTCCTAAGGTTTGGAAGCCTGTGTGCCATAAAATAGAGAAAAGAACCTAGCAAGCAGATACAAGGTGGAGGAGGGCTATTTACTAATTTTCCTTTGTGGTGTGGGCTTCCTGGTGGGTCTGAAATGCTGCTTCATTTCCATTTATTTTCTTGTCCTCGGGCTGCTTCTCCCCCACAGTGTCGTGCTCTGCTTACACCCACTCAGGCAGAGACACGGCGGAGAGAGGGCTGGAGCCTGGCTCCGCTGCGCTGGGGGCGGTGGGGGTCCAAGAGGTGCCCCACCTCGAGCACCGTGTCTGGCCTTGACACACCTCTCAACCCCACCCACCTCTCACTTCCCTTTCGTTTAATGTGGTAATGGATTAAGAAGTACTGCTAAAAGAATAAAGAGCCATAGTAATTCAAGGAACTATTATTAGCTATAGATTTTTCCATTCTTGTGCCCCATGGACTGCCCAGAGGCTTGCCAGAATTTGAAGCTCCTTAGAAGAAAGGTCTTGAGAGACGAGGGTCAAGTGAGGCTCTGATTCAGCTGGTAGGAAATTGCAGTCCTTAGAAGGTCTGAGCCAGGGTGGCTCTGAGAGGTCAGAGTGGCCGCTCCTGCGTCTTCCAGCGTCTTCCAGCGGGAGGCTCTCCGTGGGAGGTGCAGAGAGTGCTGAGGTGGCCAGCTGGAGGAGGGGGAGGGCAGCAGCAGAACTGGGGCTGGAACCCAGAAGCTCCGACTCCCCGCCTGGAAACGTTGGCTCCACTCTTGCTGTAGCCCCTGACTTTTTGTTTGAGAAAGCCTCTGCTTTGAAGACAACTGGCCTGTCAGCTGGGAGGCCCTCCTGTGTCACCATGGAGAGGCTCAAGATGCAGGGGGACTTCACCGTGCCCCCCTCTGGATGTTCCAGGGAGATTCCGAATGCCCTGCTGTGGCAATAGATTGAGTCAAGAGATAACGTGGCTTACAGGCCCATCGGGGATGCTGAACAGAACGTGGACAACTCCGAGAGCCTAAGGCTGCAGCTTGCTGGCTTTCTCACCTCTGCGTCTGTATTTTGCCTTGGCCTTTATTACCATCTCAAGGAAGTGGTGCAGGGAGGTGGTGAAGGGCCTCATGGAACAAACCCAGGGTCCTATTCTGAAGCAGTTCTTAGATATGCTTTTCAAATTCTAGGTCCAAAACAGGCTTTTCACAAAGGCCTGCGCTACCATGTACTCCATGGTTTCCAAAATACAGATGGCGAAGTCCCTTCCAGTGTGCTTCATGTGAAGAGTGCTTTTCTGATCCTCCAGAGGCAAATCTGGGTCGGAACTTAACATTTATAGAAATGATAAGCTTCCTTCCTTTTCTGAGTATCTCCTATTAAGGCTGCCTTACAAAAAGGACTCCCAACAGCAACCAGCTTAAGACAGGCTCTTCCTCAACCCCCAGAGACAAAAATGTCAGTGACAACAGCTTGACTCCCAGGCACTGTAACCTCTTTCAGACATTTATAGACCTGTCGTGATTGGCTGGTGGCTCTGTGGGTCTCTGGCCTTCTCCCACGTGTCCCTTTATCACCCCTTACTGGTTTCAAATGGACAGAGGTCACTCCTGAAGTGTCACGGAGTCTCTTCGGCCGCTTTTCAAGACTGCAAACCAGTTGCTCCTCTTACATTAGGGAAACGGCTTGCCTCTTTCAGACACTATGTAGCCAAGGTAGCCATCAGACTGGGTCAAATGGATACAAGAGCCGCTAGAGGTCTCATATGTCCCAGCTGTGGAACTGGAGATGCATGTGTGCCCCATTCTTACCAGTGGGCCTCTGGTTCAACATTTTATTTTTTTATTTTTTTTTT